CCACTGACAAAGAACAAATTAAAATATACCAAGAAAGAAAAGCTTGTAGTTAGTTCAAGGATCGCTGGCCTTTAAGAGTGTTTTCCAGTCCAGCCTGTTGGGGCACCATGCTCTCTCCCGAATGTCCACCCTTTGACAGTTAAAAAAAATAGCTACTCTTTCCTTCCATGATTACTTTGCTTATCCCCTATTGATAGAAAAAATGTTAGTTATCCACAAATTAGATAAAAACTAATCCCTACTGTTATTCTTCAATATTCAAGAAAAAATATCATTATTGCTATTTACTATTGGAGTCAAGATTTACAAAACATCACCATGTTGATCAGTTACTCAAAAGTTGTCCAGTTAATTTACTGTTATAATTATGTGTGGAAATAAAACTATTTGGCTATTTACATCAGATTGAGTATTTTCACAAAGAACTGGCAACAAATATTGGTTTCTTGAGTGTTAAAAAGTGAAAATAACTTTTAATTTTTTCATTTAACTACATAGTATATTTCAATTGTTTTGAGTCTTATCTATAAATGAAAAATATTACATTATGCCTAATTTAGTTATCACAGAATTTGGCACAAACCAGGATAACAAGTATAATTGTTACATTATTATTACTTCTGTTTGTATTCATATTGCAACTAATCACATACCCACTACTAAGTGGTTATATAGGTTTGCTACAAATACTGTGCAATAGGTACACTTTAAATGAGAACAAATTCCTTTCTCTAGTGTAAAATGGAATAAATTAATAATCTGATAACTACACCCCTAGCTTGTGGTCAAGTTTAATACCTTTAAAAGAAACACAGCTTTAAAGCATAAAATTTTATAAGAAATGTCACTGATAATACAAAATTACTAGAAAAATTATATAAATAATATATAGTATTATTCTTTAAATCTGTGACCTAGAACAATGTATAAGAACTAGAATCACCTAGGAGACCAGTAAACTTGCAGGCTCCTAAGCAGTACTACAGTAGATCTGATGATGATGCTGGTCCTTAGACCCCACTAGACTAGCATTGCCCTAGACCTAGAACATAACTTTGTACCTAAGGGCCAAATTCACCCTGCTGCCTCTGTTTGCAAGTCAAATTTTATTGGAACATTGCCATGCCCACTCATTTACACATTGTCTATGAATGCTTTTGTGCAACAATAGCAGAGCTGAGCAATCGTAAGAGATTGCAAGAGCAAGGAATTATGTAATGTGGCTCTTCTAGCCAAAGTCTCTAACTCCCAACAAACAACCTTTTCCTTCATGAGACTGGTAAGAAGGTGGGAAGATATACTGATAGGATTTACCTGTACGTAATTGTGAACAGGTTTTCCCTGGAATGCCAACCTGCTGTGTATAAAATGAGCCCTCTGAGAATCAGAAAAAAGGATCTCATTACTAGCAAGAGCCAGGAGTGAAGCCGAGATCCTGTGCTGTGATCTTGCTAGATTCAGAAGACAGCTGTAACATCAGAGGAGCCACAGCAGAACCAGGAACCAGAACATGGAACGGAGTGATAGACTTCCCAACCCATGGAGCAAGTAAAGCTGCGTGCTTTTGGAGTGCTTTTGTGCAGGAGGCTGGCTTGTGGAGTGGGGTATCTCTCGGCACGTAATTGAGAAAGCTGAACTTCCATGTCCCATATAAGTGAAGCTGACTGGCTTTGGACTGAGACTTATTGGAGTAGGGTGTCTCTGGGCACTTAAGTCAGGGAACTGAGTTTGTTGACCCTTGGAGCTTGGGTTGAATGCCTTAGGGTTGAGGTTTCCAGCAGAGTAGTATTCCTCTTTGGGCATTTATTAGACCTGAAAGAACTTTGTTATGTGTCCTGATAAAGAGCTACATTGAGCATTTCTCACTGGCATTACAACCTGTTAACTTCCTTAATAAATCCTTTAATTAATTTTTAAATTAAATTTGTGTGATCTTTGCAACGTAAAGGCTAGAACCCAGAAAAATAAAATAGGACATTAAAACAACAGAGAGACCATATGACCTCCAAGTCATATATATTTACTATTAGAAACTTTACAAATTTGCTAACCCACATCCTAGAATGTCAGTTTTATCCCTACTGTTCTCTGGGATATTATGAAATTCAGAAATTGTAATATTATGAAATTTATTCCAAAGATGAAGACATGCAATGAGACTATTAGGGTATTTCGAAGCTCATATGTTCATTGTCTTTATGTACGTCCTGTTATCTAATAGCAATGAGTTGCTAATTTTATTATTTCCATGATATATTTTGATTGATTATCCGACATACTACACAATTAAGTCATAATCTCCTATACATAATGAAAAAGTATAAAAACTTGCAAATAAAATCCATACAGTACAACAGACATTTTACTGAAAAATTTTAATGTATATTGCTGAAATGTATTTATTTGATAAAGTATAAGCAATATTACAAATTCATAATCATTCCTGGTAATGAAGGACAGGGATAGAGGCATACATTAAATTACCCACTTCCCCAAACTATCCAACACAATGGCCCTCTGAGAAAGCAACAACTACGTCAGATTTCCACAAAGCAGTATGTGTAGGCTTCAGACCTCTCTGATGTGTTTTGGTATTAGATTTAAACATATCATTGTGTGATATGTACTACTGAGGGGGCGTAGTGGCACAGTTGTTCAAGTTCTTGGTTGGGAACTGAAAAGTTCCAACCCATCTGCCACTCCATAGGAGAAAGGTGTGGCAGTCTGCTTCTGTAAAGACTCATAAGAGTATACTTGGAAACCATATAGGGCAGTTCTACTTTATCCTCTATTAGGCTGTTATGAGCCAGAATCAACTGCATGGCAGTGAGTTTGGTCTGATTTATGTATTATTGAATTTACCCCAGATTCTACCACTCAACCTTTCCTTAAACCAAGCATTTGACTTAGGGATCTGTGGTTTACATGATAACTAAAGTAGGAAAACAGAACATGGAATTACATCAATGTTAAAATGATTTTATGTGTGTGTATGTAAACTAATAATTGAACAAGTAAGAAATAATAGCGATTTAGCTCAAACGTCTTAGTTGTTATTTGACTGGGGTATTTAATTTTGTGAAAGGCAAAATAACTTAGTCATCTCCATTGAAAGTGTGAGATTAAAAGACATTAGAATCTAATTATGTCTTGAGAGGTTTGGGTACCTTTTACTTCCTCTGGTGAATAAAACCCTTATTTTTGTAGCTATATGCATAATTTCCCAATAAATATTTACATATATAAATTCTTTAGGACCACTTGTCTTTGAATGAGAAACTTCGAGACAAGCATCTTGTATACAAGTTTTGAAAAAAGTTTTCTTGTCAGAATATGAAATACATTAATAGGATATGGTAATTTACATGAATACATTAATAGAAGGAATGTCTGTGAGCTAATACCTGTTGCACGATAGTTGTCAATTCCAAGCAGAGTTGTATGACATTATTTCTTGTGACTGAATAGTCTGTCACAGCAGCAAACGGTGATCTATAAAGGAAAAAAGAAAATTACCATGAATAGAAACAGATTTTGAAAAGTTCCTATATACTAATAATGTAAAACAAGATTTTGAATAATACAAAATGAATTGTTTTGAAGGTTAAATGTTGATAAAAATTATCTGTGATCACAATTTTTAATGTGAAGAAATACTTGGGATAAGTAAATGAAATAAATAATGTTTGCTTTTCATTAAATTTATTTGTTTCATTTCTTAATATTTGTAAGTTCATTGGAATGTCTTTCATGGTCTCTGCTACATCAAAAGCAAAAAAAAGAGAGAGAGCATTTTAAGAATACACTATTTACCTAATGAACCCTAAGATTTTTAATGCAGTATATTCCTGAAGAAGTCCCTAAATGACATAAACGGCTAATGACAGTCGGCTGCTAACCCAAAAGTTGGAAGTTCAAGTGCCTCAGAATAAAGGCCTGGAGATCTATTTCCAAAAATTCAGCCACTGAAAATCACATGGAGAACAATTCTACTCTGACATATATGAGGTCACCATGAATTGGAATTTGCCTGACAGTAACTGATTATATTTTATCACCATGAAATATTGACAATTATGAACTAGTAATAATAACCATCTTTGGAAATTCTATGGGGGCAGTTATATACTGTTCTATAGTCTGAATAAGAATCGACTGAACTGCAGTGGGTTTGCTTGTTTGTTTGAAATAACTATTGTTAATACTTACTGGGGATTTACTATTTTCCAGCCACTGATCTAAATACTTTAAATATATTAAATAATTTAATCCTTATAATGACTTTTTTGAGATGAGAAATGTAAGGAAGAGAAGGTTAAGTGATTTATACAAGGCCAGGCAACTAGTAAGTGGTAGGGCTGCTACTCAAATCTAGAAAGTATGAGTGGACATTTTTTAAGCCACACTTCAACACTAATAGTATGCCTCTATGAACTTGCCAAGCATTTATCCAATACTATATCTATTATATATGTGAATTCATATCTTTCATGGAATAACTTGGTGTAAAAATAATAAATATGAGGGCACTTCAGAATATTAATGGGGAAAAAAAGATATAATGGAATTCTACCGCAAACTTTTTTAAGCCTTCACGCATATACTGTTCATATTTACATTTACATTTATATATACATAAACCGAAAACAGCAGTCTTTTTGTATTAAATGAAAACTCGGAGACTTTACAATACTTCTATCCTAGCGTATTGTGCTCCTATACTCCTAAATGCCAGATACCTACTTGTGAACTCCAATCAGGTTTTGGTGAGGTCAAAATTTAAATGTAAGGAAAAGGAAACAAAACCTAACACAAATGGGATGAAAGTGAAAATTTAGTCAATTTGCTGAAACCTTAGGCAACGTACTAGAAATGAATTTGACTCCCCTCTAGAATCCTCAGCAACTCAATCACCTTTCACTCAGTTCCACATAAGATACCAAACTAACAAACCACAACCTTTGCCACTGAGGCGATTCTGACTCTTAGAGATCCTAAAAAGGGGTTCTGAGATTGTGTATCTTTACGGATGTAGACTGCCACATCATTCTCCCGTGTTGAGGTTAGTGCCTTTGAACTGAGGACCTAGTGGTTGGAAGACAACTGCATACCATTATGTCACCAGGGTTCCATTAAATCCGGTAAATGCCGATATGTAAGGATAAACGAATCCTGACATGGTTCATCATTGTAGATTCCCAAAGATGGTGACTCAGCCATGATATAATACTCACTGATGAGATAAAGCAATGAATCTCTCTGAAGTAACTGAAAATGATCAGCTAAAAAACAAACCAATTTCTTTTAAAACTTCAAAAAATGTTTTGAACTCAAGCTACTTTTTTCAAAAAGAATACAGTGACTCTAAAGGAAATAAAATTCATGGCAGGAAAGGTTTTCAATATAGAAAGAAAAAAATTAAATCTTTGGCTCATCAATAAGTGGCTATTATGAGAATTATTATATTTAAATGGTACATAATAGGCGATTATCCTTAAATCATCATATGGTTAAGATAATGCTTATTCTTTTAGGACAAAGGTCCATGATCTGTAAGAAATTAACCTCTGTACATCCTTTTCACACAAAAGCATTATAATTCATCGTTCAGAAATCTTTAATCAATTAGATGCAGCAATGAGGAAAATCTATAATACCTTACTTATTTCAAATGTCACTGTTATAGCCTCATGAACAGTCTACTGAACAGTGGCAGCCTTATCAACTCTGCTCTGCTCTAGAACCTGAGGTGCCAAGTGAGAGCAATGAGGAGATCAGAGGAAATAAGACAAAATCACACTCTCTGGGGCTTTTTGTTGTTATTGTTGTTGTTTTCTTGGGCTTTTAAAAGTCGATCTCTCAGGGGGTCTTTTTTTTCCGGATATAGAATTAAAAGTTTCCAATCATGGAAGAGGGCATTAGTTAAAATCTTCTCTTATATGAGGCAACAAATTTTATACTCATTTTGAATATTTTCATTAAATCTACTACACAATGCAATACATACATACAGTAATCTGTAAACCCTGAAGCACAGATTGATTTGGCAAAGCCATAGAAAACTGCAAGAAAGATGAGGTGTGAAAAACAGCAGGATGTAGGTTAAAAATAGACAACTAACCACACATTGAAAGTACACAGTAAAGCTACCAACTGTGATGCCTCTCTGAGGCTTTCCCTCTGGCAAACTCTGCATTTACAGCCAATTCAATATTTAAAATGGGAGGAAGAGAGGAATTTTGTTTGGCTTAGATTTTATCTTAGTCAAAAGATAAAGAGCTGGTATATGAAAATATCATTTAAATGAATGGCAATGTTTTTTAGTATTAAACATTCCCCCCTACCATACTAATTCTATCTTAAACATGAAAATGAGTTTGAATGATAACTGTATTTCATTAAGTTAATCAAAACAGAATGGTCTTGAAAAGTTTTTATAAACAATAAAATTATAGGTAAAGCTATAGGGAAAACAAGACCTTTTTCCTACAGGGAAAAATGCTTTTCTATAAATAAAATTTCATAGCACGATTTTGTGCCTGACCAACTCATGGTACTTTCAAATTATCTAATATGTGTGCAAAAGCTGGAGAATGAATAAAGAAAACCTAAGAAGAATTTATATATATGAATTATAGTTTGGGAGAAAAATCTTGACTACACTAGAGACTGCCAGAAGAATGCAGATATCGTAGAAGATGTAGTCACAATGTGTACTTTGGACATGTCAGGAAGGAACAGTTCCTGGAAAAGGATGCTTGGTAGAGGAGAGGGGCAGTGAAAAAGAGGAAGACCCTCAAGAAGTTGGATTGACATAGTGGCTGTAACAATAGGCTCCAACCTAACTATTGGGAGGTTGGCACAGGACTGGGTAGGGCTTCATTCTGTTGTGCATAGTGAGAATCAACTCAAAGACACCAAACAACAAACGTTAACACTAGGAAAACTTCTTTCTTGTTATTTAGCATTGAAGATAAACATTAAATTGTAAATATTTAAATGCTGTTTTCCTGAAAATCACTTCCTAAAATCCTTAAGAATTAGCTTTCAAAAGGAGATGGCATGAAAAAGGAGAAACAATGTGAGCTTTAGTGTCATACAAAATTAGGTTCAAATTATAATGTCCACACCGGAAAATTAACTTTAGACAAAGCTTAATTTCTCATACGTGAAATTAGGATAAAGATAAGGTTTTGTGAAGGTTCAGTGAGTTCATATAAGTAAAGCATCAAATTCAGTATATAAAACTAGTGATATTTTGTTTATATTTTCCTTCTTCCCTGTGTCATACATAAAATGAAAATTCTAATAAGCTTAAATCTTATGGTTGTGCATCCAAGTTCTCTCTAAAACATAATAAGATTTTTGAATGCCAAAATCATTTACCCATGCTATTAAAAAATAAAACCAGTTATTTAGTATCAAAATATCCATCTTTAAATTTTAAAAAAATTTCAGTAAAGCATTATATGGTACTTCATCCCAATGAAATAATCTAAGATTAAATGCTAAATTCGTGGCAATATTTTACGGCACTGGCTATTTTTAATCGCCATCATTAAAGCCAATCTATACTGACAAACATTAAAAATTTAATCAGCACCATTCCCATGGAACTTTCCTAATTAAGCATTTAAGTTATAAGTTCTTCAAAAACAAACAATTTTTAAAAACCAGACCCCTTACTTAAGATAAAGAAAACATACTGAAAGATTTGTTTGGGGAATAGATGAAGTTCATGGATACATATAATTAATGAAATTGAATTTATAAAGTAAACTATATACTGTATTAGAAAGTTATAAGTTTTATAGAAAATAGGGCAAAATATGAGGAATTAATTCTAAAACTCTCCACAGACCAGGGTAACATATCTATGACTTTAAATCTCAATTGCATTTTAACTTCCCAAATATCGATCTATATGTGCACCTTCTTTCTGAGCAAGATCTTTTCACTGAATATTGTACAACTATCACGAAGTTATCATGCCTCATTACATTTCAAGTGGTCATTTAGGAGAACGACCACCAGTCTGTCTAACTTTGGTGACAGGTCTTGGTATGATGCCAGAAGTCATGCCACTTGTATTTCAAATACCAGCATAGTCACCTCTGGTGAATAGGTTTTATCAGAGCTTCCAGACTAAGACCAACTAGGAAGAAGGACCTGAAAACCTACTTTTAAAAATTGGCTAAGGAAAATAGAAAAATACCAGTCGAGTATTGTCTAAAACAGTGCTAGAAGATAAGGCCTTCCGGTTGGAAGGTACTCCAAATGTGACCATGAAAGAGATGTATCTTCAAAGCAAAGCTCATCTAGTTTATGTTGTAGGTTTATATGAAAATATATAAATTTTTAAAACATGAAATGAAACAAAATTACTTGAACTTTTATCTTTAAAAAGATAAGTTACTGTTAATATAAGGCCTCATATTTTATTTTTTAAATCATTTTATTGGGGGCTCGTACAATTCTTATCACAATCCATACTAACATCCATTATGTCAAGCACATATGTACATTTGTTGCCATCATCATTCTCAAAACATTCGCCTTCGACTTGAGCCCTTAAAATCAGCTCATCTCCCCCCCCCGCCCCCTTACACCATTCATAATTAATAAATTATTATTTTGTCTTATGTTACACTGTCTGAGGTCTCCCCCACCCTCTTCTCTGCTGTCCATCCCCCAGGGAGGAGGCTATACATAGATTCTTATAATCGGTTCCCCCTTTTCACCCCAAATTCCCTCCACCCTCCAAGCATTGCCACTCTCACCACAGATCTCATCTGTCCTGGATTCCCTGTGTTTCCAGTTGCTCTCTGTATCAATGTACATCCTCTGGTCTAGCCAGATTTGTATTTTAAAACAGCTAATTATACATATGCTATTGACATTTCTTCAAGAATAAATAATTCTAATATATATTATTAGACTTTCTTATGAGGCAGAAGTGGGAGCTCTGGAGGTATAGTGTTTACACATTGGGCTGCTAACCGCAAGGTCAGCAGTTCAAAAATCACCAGCCACTGCTCAGGAGAAAAACGGGGCTTTAAGAGTTACATCTTCAAAACACCAAGCTTGCTTGTCAGACACTTGTAGACCTCCCAAGACTTGGTCCCTTAGTAACCCTTCAGGTCTGGAAATGTATTTAGCCCCATGGCTCAATTTTCAGCCCAGCAATAGACAAGTTTTTAAGGAGAGCAATAACCCAAGAGAGGTACACATATCTCAGAATAATGAACCATTTGAGAGCCAGGGGCAGGCATTTACCCAAGGACAAAATTCGGAAGAATAAAAAGTGGAAACAGGAAACAGGGAGGAAGTGGGATAAGTGATGGTACATTGTGAGTATTGAAATGAAAAAAGTATATGCATTTTTTAATGGAAAACTGATCTGCTCTATAAATTGTCAATTCAGTTAGCAATAAAAGTTTTTTAAATAAAAAAAAAAAAGAATTACATCTTGGAAACTCCCAAGAGTAGATCCTACCCTGTCCTAGAAGGTCCCTCTGAGTGAAATCAGCATCAATCTGATGGCAGTGATTTTGGCTTTTGGTTTGGTAGAAAAGAAAGAATACTTTAAAATTACTGTTAATCATTATAGCACAGTCTATTACATATAATTATACAAGGAAGCTTTTGAAAGGCTGTTAATTATTTATACATTGCTCACTTTATTCCTTATTATTAGTGTTATTTGTATCTTTTCTTTTGGTAGCTTTGTTAGTAATTTGTTGATTTTATTAATCCTTTCAAAAATCAACTTCTTGTTGATTTTTTCCATTACTTTTGGTTTAATTTATTTTTGCTCTTATTGTTTGTTTTCTTCTAATTGTGAAACCTACCTTTGATGCACTTATCCTAATGGTTGGAGATGTTCGGCTAAGGTGTTGCTTTTGTTTTTTTCTTGATGCGTGCATTTATTGTTGTAAATTTCCCTCTGTGCACTTCTTTTGCTATGTGCCTAAGGTTTTAGTATGTCGTTTTCACTGTAATTTGACTCATGAAAATTTTTAAGTCTCATTTAAAATTTTTCTGTAGTACCCAGAAGGGTGCTATTCAATTTCCATGTATTTAAAGTTTACTTTGATCTTTCTATTAGTGGTTTCTAATTTTTATAGTGTGTGATATGAAAAGATTCTCTCCAATATATTGATGTTTATAAATGTATTGAGGCTTGCTTTGTGGCCTAACATATGGGCTATTCTTGAGAATCTTCCATGTGTCCTGGAAAATAATGTATAGTGTATTATTGTTTGGTGGAGTGTTCTATATATGTTTATGAGGTCAAGTTGACTGTGTTGTTTGATATTCTATGTCTTTGTTAAGTTTCTTTCTACTTGTTCTGTTCATCATTGAAAGTGTTATATTGAAGTGTCCTACTATTATTGTCAATTTGCCTATTTCTCCCTTTTATTCTTCTAGAGGTTGAGTTATGTCATTTGAGATCTTTCAAAGATATTTATCATGGTCTTATCCTCTTTTCAATTGACCCTTTAAACATTATACAATACCCTTCTTCTTTGTTTCTTATGGTGCTTTGTGTCTTAAAGTCTATTTTATAAGAAGTCAATATTGCCACTCTTGTTCTTTTCTGATTGTCATTAGCTTGATTTTTTCATCTTTTTATTTTCAGTCTATTTTTGTGTGATGCTCACCTTCCTGACAAAATCACTGAAGACAAAAATGGGTGCATAAGTAAATGTGGTAAAGAAAGCTGATACTGCCTGGCTATCAAAAGATAAAGCATCTGGGGCTGGGGTCTTAAAGGCTTGAAGATAAACAAGCGACAAGCTAACAGAGAAGCATAAAAGCCCACATGGAAGAAGCACACCAGCCTGTGTGATCATGAGGTGTTGATGGGATCAGGAGTCAGGCCTCAAAAATCCCAGAACAAAAAATCCTATCAATGTGAATGAAGGGGAAAATGGAGTGGAGACCCAAAGTCCATCTGTAGACAATTGGACATCACCTTACAGAAGGATCACAAGGAAGAGAAGAGCCACTCAGAGTACAGTACAGCACCAATGAAACATACAACTTTACTGCTGCTCTTTAATGCTTCCTCCCCATCCCCCCTGACACTATCATGACCCCAGTTTTACCTTACAAATCTGGCTCACAACTAGGAACTTCAAGACAGATAAACCCCTTATGACCAATAATGAGTGTAGCGATACCAGGAGGGTGAGGGAAGGTGGGGGGAGAAAGGGGGAATCAATCACAATGATCTACATATAACCTCCTTCTAGGGGGGATGGATAACAGAAAAGTGGGTGAAGGGAGACAGTCGTTGGTGCAACACATGAAAAAAAATTATCAAGGGTTCATGAGGGAGGGGGGAAAATGAGCTGATACCAAGGACTCAAATAGCAAGAAAATGTTTTGAAATGCTGATGGCAACATATGTGGAAATGTGCTTGATACAATGGATGGATATATGGATTGTCTTAAGAGCTTCAAGAGCCCCCCATAAAATGATTTTTTTAAAGAAAAACTCATAACAGGCCATCTAAGATACAACTAACAGTCTTTCTTAGTCCAGGTGAGAGAATAGTGATAGAAATCAAAGACATATGAAGACGATTAGTCCAATGGATTAATAAGCCACTTGAACATCAGTCTCCACAACCTTGACACCAGAAGCTAGTGCTGGACTACCACTACCAATTGCTCTGAAAAAGAAAAAATCATTTTAGAAGGTTTTGGATAGATGGGGAGAAAAATGTGTGGAGCAAAATTCAAAATCATAAAAAGACAAGGTGACTGGACCAGATCGAGATTGGGAGCATCTTGACATGATGGTACTTAGTCACACTTTAGGTCTGGAACTAACTGGCTCATTTTCATTTAAACAAAAAAGGGCAGTTCTATAATGGGAAAATAACACTTTGGATGTATGAACATCTTAGAATAATCAACCATTTGAGCTCAAAAGGGTAGAATTTGCCAAAGGAATACGTTTAAAAGGGAAAAGAAAGTAGGAAGAATAAAACAGGAAATGAGTAGAAGTGGGTTAAGTGATATTACAGATTGGGTATTCAATGACATTGAGATGAAACAAAATGTATATGAACTATTGAATGTAAGAGATGATCTGCTCTGTACACCTTTACCTAATTCACAGTAAAAGGTTCATTTGAAGTTAACATAAAAATTCTATTACTTTAGACTATGCTTTCCACAAAATTTTTGAAACCATCTCCTCCACACACTCAAATTCAACTTAATGTATTTTATTTAATAGTATGAAAATTTTGTATTATTTTATGTCTTCTAAGGGTAGCTCTGGTGGTGGAGTAGTTAAGCTCTTGGGTGCTAAGTGAAAAGTCTGCACTTAAAATCCACTAGGGGGGGGGGCAGGGGCGCAAGGAGATTTAGCAGCCTGATTCCATAAAGCTTTAGAGCCTACATGAAGTTCTAATGTCTACAAGGTCACTATGGGTCAGGATGGACTCCATGGGAACATGCTTATCTTTTTGTTTGTTTTTTATTATGTCCCAAGACAAATAGAAATTAACAAAATTGGAAATTTTCTAAAGGTTAATAATATCTAGAGAAACTATATAATGTAAATAATAAGAAAGAATGACTAAAGCAAGAGGAAAGAGACCTGCAAAGCATGGTGTGAACAAACAGCTAAATAATGACATAAAAACAGAAGGGAATTTTGCAATTATCAGGGAATAATTATTAATTGGCTGCTTGGTTGGATAGAAAATTTTACAAAAGAAAAATATGTTTGACCTCAACCTGTATTATAGTGAATCAGAATTAGTCATTTATTATTTATTACTCCTGTACCTGTGCACGTCCTTTTACAGGAAAATATTAAAGAATACAAAGGGTGTCTATAAAACATGTAAAATTTTTTACCTGTCCAACCAGGCAAGAAGACTCTTAGCTGCTCCAATCAGATCAACAACAGAGGTCAGAAAGTCATTTGGCAATTTTCTGCTGGTCCTCCCATCATAATGGCCACTCCTTCTCCTTCCTGTTATAAAATTCTGTAGATTTTTGGCAGATGCATTCAACTTGTGAGAGAGGGTTTTTAGATTTTCTGTTTCCAAGCCATAATTCTGAATTATAAAAAGAAAGGGAGAAACCTTAGGTCAATATTTTATACATTCAATAAAATACTTATTGAAAACTTTACTATGTACAGGCTATGGGGCTACTGTGAGTTACAATGTTTATGTGTGTATATATATACACACAATCATGAATCTATATCCCAGGAAAATGCTGTTTCCCTTAAGTGAGCAAAATAATTATAACCTAACGTTTAAATTAAAAAACACAAGATAATTATTTTTCTTAGCCTCTGTTTTCAATGTTTAGTTATATTATTTCACGCTAAATAATATAACTTTATTATTTGAGAATATTACATGAATCAATATAAATGTAATAAAGTTGTAATAAAGCTTTTTACCATTTTCTAATAAGAAAAAAAAATCATAGGATCATCTCTAGTAAACCTTAGGAGAAGATGGGAAGATTTAGTAAGGTACAATAAAGATTTATAGCACCAGTGTGAGTTGTAACACCCTCCCCTAAGAAAGGATAGTCAATCTGATCAATGGGTTTTCTTGATTATACCACATGGAAACATGCATTTTGCCATCATGTTTAAAACTAAAGATATCCTCATTTTAAAGAAATCATAAAACGCAAAGAACGTTAGAACTTGGTTGAACCTAGAGACAAAGTTTAATTTATACTCCTTTTATAATTTATGAAACTGAGTAATAGGAAGATTGTTATTTGCTTAAAGAGCTCAGAGCTTAGACTAGTGTTCTGAGTAAGACTGTAAATCACCTATGCAGGATCCTTCCATCCCATTCTTCCACATTCATATTTCTCTCATGTTAAACGGGTGGTGACAACAATTGAAATGGAAAATAAAGTACATGGGAGTTTGAAAACATAATAATATAGTGTATTTAACTATATTAAGCCAACGACAATTGGGGACCTTCTGACTATGAAATTCAGTGTTTAAAATATTGATAATTATAGAAAGAGAGGACTTGGTGAGAAAAAAAGGAGGAAAAGGAAGTTTTGGGTGCATACAGATTAAATGCCAATTTATGTGTTTTTTGAGGAGGTTTCAAAACGTTCATGAGAAAATGGAGTTTGTGAACTTTTTGACACTCTCCAGTGAATTATTTAATGTGGCTCTTCTAGGCAAAGTCTCTATAACTCCCACCAAATGATCTTTTCCTGAATGAGTCAGGGCAAGAAGTTGGGGGAATATAAAACACACTGGAGAAAGGAAGGTTATGTCAGTGTAGATGGCAAAGAACTGCAATATGAATTATTGACTTGTACAGATTAAATTCTTAAGTGACTGGACACTGTTTTCACAAACAATGGGAGTTGGTGATAAGGCCAAACTTTCAATAACAGTGATTTCCCTCTGACCATAGTCAAGGGATGTGGATACCTTGTATCACAAGTGTAGTGCAGAGACGATTAGAGTCAGTATAGCCAGGTTAAAATGTAATACTTGATTTGGTTCCCCTTTCAACCCACTTAAAAATTTTATCAGTTAAAAAAAAGTCAAGGTGAAGTACAGGTGGATTAAGCCTCTGCTGAATCCCTTTTGAACATAGATCAGGGATACGAATAGCTTTGCTATTAGAGAGAGTGCACTGGAAAGGAGATAACAGATGTAGTTAGTTTAAAATGTAATACCTTATTATTTGATCTTCCAATTAACCCATTTTTAAATTTTTTCTAGTTTGTAATATTTTCAGTTTTCAACTGAGCTTTTCAATATTTTATTGTTTTGTTGTTAGCCTTTTTGTTTCGTTGTTTTTTGTTTCTGCATGTTTTTCAGTATGTGAAATCCAAAATGGGTGACTCTATAGCAGCGGTTCTCAACCTGTAGGTCGCGACCCCTTTGGGGGTCAAGCGGCCCTTTCACAGGGGTCACCCGATTGAAAACAGTAGCAAAATTACAGTGATGAAGTAGCAACGAAAATAATTTTATGGTTGAGGGGGGTCACCACAACATGAGGAACTATTAAAAGGTCGTGGCATTAGGAAGGTTGAGAACCACTACTCTATAGAGACAGCAACTAGAACAATGGTTCCTTGTGGGTATGGCAGGGGAGGCTGGGGGGAAATGGGGTACTAAAATAACAAGGAGTACAAGAAGAAAATGTTCTAAAATGGATTGTGGTAATGGTTCTATAACTCTTCTTGGTATGATTGAACTAGTGAATTGTATGATATTTGATTATGTCCCAATACTTTTTTTTAAATAGAAGGTTGAGGAAGATACTGGCAGGTTTCACCTATAAGTAATTGTTAACAGGGTTCATTGTGATTGCCATCCAGCTGAGTTCAAAATGAACCCTCTGAGAGGCAGGAAATGGGATCTCACTGCCAGCAAGAGCCAAGAGTGGAGCTCATCCTTCAGATCCTACATCTGGTCTGCCTTTCTCTTCAAGAACCTTCAGTTCTTAGACCTAATTTTCTGGCTTCCACAACCTTGTGGATAAGGAGGATCCCCCTGACAGATGTCTGAATTATGATTTGAGAACTACCAGCATCCACAAGATGCAGGCATTTTCCTTTATGTTGTGAGTTCTGAATGGCCACTGTAGTGAGTTGCAGGACCTTGGGATGTAAGGGAGATGTATACCAAGTGGAGAAGGTGGTGGTTGATGTCAGAGGTGACAGTAGTTTGGAAAGGTGGGACACATTTGGGATATATTCAGCTTTCACCTTCTTGGGACCAGTCTGCTTTTGATTTTCATGAAGGAAATATTACTTACCATCCCCTGGGTTGCCACTAATGATTTGAAATACTACAAGTCTGACGGTACCTCACTAAAAATTTCATTAGTACTCCTTTTTCTGTTGGAATTATACTCTTCCCTCTCCCTAAATACAGTATATCTAATTTGGAATTCATGTCTTAATTTGAATTGCAGTATTCCTCTCTCAAGAAAAAAGTTTAAGTTATTGCAAATAAAATAGCATCCTGTTCAGATTCTGATAGATTATCTATGAGGTATCTTGGAGATTATATATAGCTTGTCATTACATTATAAAGAACATTTTATAAGTCTGTTTAAAGATATTTACTAATGACAAGAGCAATTCATAAATATATCAACTAAATATAAATGACACTTCTTTTGAATTTGAATTTTTTCCCAGAAGAATTTTCCCTGAAGTAAAACCTGTTTTCATTTTTGTTATTAATAATTTAATGAAGAAACATTTGCTTACAAGCAATTTATAATAGTTTCTTCTTACTAAGTGCCATCAAGTTTATTCCAACCCATAGCAATCCTGGGTGACAGGGCAGAACTGCCCCATAGGGCTTTCTAGATTATCATCTAGATGGGAGTAGTTAGATATTCAGGCCTTTTCTCCTGTGAAGGGTTTCTTACAGAAGTTCAACCTATTAGGGAAGAACTGAAAAAATAATTTTTTAATGAATTTTTCATTCTACAATCATTGCGTACATAAAAGATTAATTTAAATTAGCTTTTTCTATATAATATTGGAGCCCTGGTGGCACTGTTGGGGAAGCCACAAGGTTAAGGGTTCAAACCCACCAGTGACTCTGTGGAAGAAAGACGAGGCCTTCTGCTCCTATAAAAACTTACAATCTAGTAAACGTTAAATGGGTTCCCTATGAGTGAGAATTGACTTGATGGCAATAGGTTTGATATATGTACATGTAATATTAGGCATCTCAAACTTTTTATTTTTTAT